CTGGGAGATGGTCAACATCTCGTCTGCGATGGATGCGTGGATGTAGCCAGCCACGGTTTTGCTCTGTGTGGAGACGGCTGGCAGTGTAAAGGCAGATGGGCGAGAGCCGCTTGCCAACTCTTCAATGACTTTCAAGTGCTCGTTCTCGTCATCCATGCGCACATTGACTAGAGCAGCAGCTTGCTGTGTGGTTACCTCGGGGTACCACGTCGCGTCTTGGTGGAGATGCGCGTGGTCCCCGGCGAACTCAAGCTCCGAACGTCGTAGGCGTTTCGAAGAGTCTGTCACGGTGGAGCAGACAAAGTACCTCAGTTGTTCGGCAAAAGATCCAGCGAAATTGCGATTCAAACCCAGAGCGCTTACAAGAATGAAACGTTCGTTGCCCTGCTCACGACCCCAAAACAAGCTAATCTTATATCAACGCAGCAAGCTTGCAGTCCGGGGAGGGGCTGAAGCAGTGCACTGTTTTGTTTGGACACTACCAGGCTACCAGGCTGTGTCTCCCAAGCACCGTATGACTAGAGAATATGCCCCCAGGTTTGGAAGTTGATGTCCACACTAAATTGCCTACTGAGATACTGCGGGGTTTCAACGAGCACGTTGTCTTCCCTTCTGTCTACCTGAGGCTCATCCTCGTCGTATTTCCATTCCCACTGGGCGAAGTGGCTCCTTGTTGCGGCGCCAGGACATATGCAACTCGGCGTCGGCGAAGCCAGCTTTCGCTTCCTTTCAGGCGGCTTGTGCCCCACCTTCTTGAGCAAAGAGTGGGGGGTCACTTTGTTTGATGACCGCACCCAGATCGAGGCGGCCCGCTCGATAAGGTAGTCGGCCACTTCCAGGTGACCCTTTTCGATTGCGAAAAATAACGCCGTCTTCCTGGCATTATCTCTGTAGTTAATCTCAAAGCCAAGATTAAGCAGGAACTTCACCACCACCATGTTGCCGCGCGCTGCGGCATAAAACAGTGGTGTCTGGCCATGGACATCCTCCTCCTCCAAGTCCACGCCCATGGCCACGCATTGTTTGGCCAACAGTTCGGAACCTCGACGTCGTCGGGCCGCGATAAAAAAACAAAAAGTTTTGACCCAGAGCCGAATGTCGCCAGGCCATGTCTGCTGTTGACAATACCTTCTTGGCCTCTGCATACTCTCCATCTCGCACAATCTCGAACTGTCGGTCTCGGTTAACATTTGACACTTCGGCTTGTTCCGTCATTGCGACGAGTCGCACCTCTTGGTGGATGCCAGGCCAATTTTGAGCCCGAGCATCTTGCGAAGAAGACAAGGTGAGTAGAGACATGGCATGCCATCTGCCTAAACTTGAATGTGGAGCGCCCAGTTCTCAGCTGGTGGGTCGTGGAGGACATTATGGGTTGAAAGCGAAGACAGAGCCTCAAAATGGGTATTACATGGGCCACCAAACCCCGCCATGAACACCTAATCAAGATGAAGACTCAGACTGCGGCCGACTGCATCTGGTGGTAGACCGTCATGTTTGACCTCTCGCACTTATCTGCTTGGTGCTGTTTCTTGCTATGCGACTTCCAGAGAGTGCA